GCCCAGACAACCATGTCGTACTTGTGTTGAAAAACATTTTGTATTTCACGTCAGAATATTCTTTAAAATAAAATATTCAGTCCAAGCCAAATCGAGGTCAAAGGGTCAGGTTGCGTGAATATAATTATAGATAGTTAAAACAAAAAGTATTTGAACTTTTGTCAGTTGTTCAACATCTATAAAAAAAAACAGAAAGACAATTATAAGACAATGTGAACCTCGGAAATTATTCTGTTAGTCCGAATTTAAAATGCGCGCGAGCGAGCAGGTGGGCGGTGATATTTCAGGGTTTGCGCGGTCGAAAATAAAGCGGAAATTGTCCGGTCGAATTCAAAAGCGAGAGAAAAAGGTGATTGGAAAGCGGAAGCGGGCGGGAGGTTGCGCGAAAGGAGTACTGTAACTTTGCACAACTTTCTTTTAGAATCGTTTTATTTTCCAAGTCAATATTCTATTTTACTAATACATTTTTTTTTTAACGCAATGGCGAAGAAAAGAAAGAAAGCGTTGACAGACGAGGCAAAGACAAATCTGCCACTCAGTGTCGCACTCTGACACAGCAATTTTTTTTTCAAACATCGGCCATTTTGTTTCACCATGAAAACCGTTTTTTATTAGATGTCTTATCAGAGACACTTGAAGGATTAGCTTGTTTGTAAACTGTCAGCGTGTACAGTGGGACAGTAATGTTTGTCAGAGGATTATCCTTCGTTGTTCATTTGCATAACAATGGAAAACCCGAATGTTCCTGGAGTACGGACTCAAATGCCAGCAGTTTTCTTCATTTTTCACGCTCGAGCTTGAAATTATTCATTATCCGACACTCTTTATGAGTTCTATGATATCAGTGGTTTATATGTTTGGCCATTTTTAGTGTATATTTATAATAATGCAGCAAATCTACAGTGTTTTATTAACCAAAACTGTTTTTCGCGAGTTGAAGTTTTGATCGAGTACGACTCATTGGGACCGCCGCCAAATCAAGTGCGTTCGGACTAGGACATTCAAACTCGCAGTTATCGTTCAAAAGATAATGATGGTGCGAAATATGTCTGGGTTTTTAAAGAAAATGCTTTGTCACAGAATAATAGTCTGTTAAAGGTGCCAAGTATGAAACAATTTAAGGACAAAAAAACAAACCTGCATAGAAATCGGAATAATAGCTCTTTTGATTATCGGAGACGCATTTCAATGGACTTGATTACGGACAATGCATGACGTAAATTTCACCAGGAAATTCCGCAGTGTGCTCTCGCAATCGCGGACTTCGCCATTTTTTGTCACGTGATAATTATGTAAACAATGACTGTCCAGTTTGTGCGAACTTGTACCTCTATACTTAGTCTTTTGAAATATATAAGCTAAATTACTGTTCTGAACGAGACAACAGACAGAGAATGTTTTATTTAAAAACGTCACAAAACCCTTCTCGCTACCTTAAAACGTCGACCTCAATTAAGGAAGTTTAAATTAAAATAGGATTGTTGCTATTACATTGTTGTCTCTGAAATAAACTGTATATTTCTGGAGGAATGTAGAGACAAAAAGGGCAGTTTGGTCGAGATTGGTCATAATGTAATTTATCAGACCTACTGATATTGTACTTTTTAAAACAAGATTTCAAACTATCGGATAATAACAATGTGTAATTGTTTAATATATTCATATTGTTTTGATTCACCACATTATTGTATTATTATCAATTTAACAATTCACGTTGTGTTTTAATTAAGAATCGTCACTGCGAATTGGTCGATGTTTAGATCAAATGTTATAGTACAAACCAATAATCATTCACTTATTTATATATTTTGTAGGAACTGGTAATCAACAATATGGACGCAAATATGAACGTGAACTTAAACGTGTCCTGGTCGTAAATAGTTACAACGAAATGAACAACAGTTAGTGTTGTAATAATAAATAATGTTACGTTTAATTATACATTTGCCTGAATAAACAGTAAATAAAATATTCTCTCCATTGTAAGGTAATTTTTTCAGTCTGCTTGCCTGCCCAAGTTTCAGCGCAGTTTCGATAGTGGCCCTCAGCGTTGACACTGAGCCAGAGAACCAGACGATAAATAGGATTTTCCTATGCGAGTTCACTAAATACATTAATAAAGGATGCGTAATAAAGAGAATAGTGGAATCACAAACATGAAATAAAACAGAGTCAATAAATGTAGAATTATACCTATGGATTATATTTCTCTAATTATCAGGAGAAATTCGTACCGGGACTTTTCATAACTTTCAGTCTTCATGATTTGCATCAATTCTAAATTGTTTTAAGATATAATACATGACACTATTGAAAAGATGCCATCCCTGTCATGTTAGTATGCAAATTGGATAATTAATATGCAAGATAATCTGTTGATCAGTAAAATGGAGCTGATCTATATGCATCATTTGAACAAAAACTGATCATATTACTAGTTCTTCATTTTATCGGAAACTGATTCATGAAATATCAAAAAATTCGTGCACACCGATGAATATGAATGGATTCACATTGTTCTCTCTGTATAATAAACACTTTAAAGACATAATTTACTCAAAAACAAGCAAGTACCAAACCATCACAGTGTGTGTGTATGTACATACATGGCATCAATCTAACGTACACTGCTGTACTCGCATGGGACATGAGCTCCTCTCCGAAATCCCAATCTATGTTTACATAAGAAAGCATATTATGTCATTCTTTGCCTGTCATTGCAATATTCCATGACTCACAAACTGAGTTGCTCACTTTTAAATATTATTTGGCAATCAAACTTGGGCGAGATTTTATGCTCAAATGATTTGATATTTTTGGATAAAAATGAAATGACAATAACGACAATGCCAGACAAAGTTCTTCATTCACTATGGAAAATGCAAAAACTATTAAATGTAACTCTGGTCGTTTTAACTTGTGAATGATCTACTTATCTGCATTCAGACTGTCACTCATCAACATTAATTAACACTGGTATTTCCACAAGGTATTACAACCTAGGATTTAAAAAAAAAACTGCCTCAGTTGCATGTACATCTATATACTGTAAAATACTTTATTTTAGCTGGACCTAATTGACAGGTTGAATGTAAAATATAGGGGGGGGGGGGAGGTATAATTGCTGGATTTCAGTCTCACTGAATCATCCTTCAGCAAAAACAAAGTATTTCACAGTACCCCAAAATCAATTTCCTCAGCTTTTACACATAAAATTTGAATCAAGTTTTACCAAATTTTGTTTTTCAAGATCACTATAGCCATGTATGAATTACCTGCCAGTAAATTTGCATAAGTTGCATTACAGCAAATCTGTGCATTAGTGGTGTGAGCTGTCAACTAGTGAGCACCCCTGCAGCACAAGTCATGCTTCAACAATCAGAATTCTCCATTCCTGGACTCGATATACACTGAATGTCCAGTTCACCAAGTCCGACTCGTTTTCAAATCTTTACCAAAGTTCTCTAAAACTTTTAGCAAATTTCCAAAGGTCATCAATCACTGCATTCGTGCATTACGTAATTAACTCTGAATTCTATTACACAATTGGGGCACGACACGCTAAATGCCTTCAAAAGTATGAAAATTTCTTGAAATGTACATCTACAGTTGGTTTGAGATGAAATGCTGCATTGAGTAACAAAAACAGTGGGGGGGTGGGGGGGTGTGTGGGGCAATTATTTTAGAAACTATGCCATAATTACCGGAGTATAACAGTAAACCAAATATTGAGTTACAAGCAACCTAAGATTTGCATACTCTAATTCATTTATAACCATGCGATAATTTTAGTCACTGAATGTGTTTGTAGAAAAAACCTAGGGTGCTATATCTCGTTGCTCGTAACTTAATTTTGGTTAACCGTTAACCGAGTCAAATTGTGATGTCATTTTCGTAACTCAATCATAATGTTATGTCAATAACACAAACAATCAGCGTCTTGTTTGGAACGTGGGTTCCAAGTCAGATAAAGCCAGCAAACTAACACTTAGATATAAAAGTAATCATTACGATGAAATGTGTTGGCCTGTAAGCCTTGACATTTTATCTCAAATCAGACTTTATATCACAGAAAAATCATTCGGCTTTAACAACAAAACTGCATAAAATAATTGGGTGACCATCAATAGTCAGAAAAGCTCTGAAAAATGATTTTCAAACATAATGTTGAAGACTATAACCTAGGTCAGACTATGAAATCCCATTTAAAAAAAAATACAGCAAAGCATTGAATCAATTCCAAAATTGCTTTATTTATTGTTATACAATAAATTGGAACTTTGATATATTTTTTTTACTTCATATAACTTTACATGTCATTTGGTCACTCCTGAAAAAGAACAAAACATAAACAAATATTACCATGTTTTCCTAAATTTTATTTGAATACAAAACCTTCATAATCAAGTAATATTAATGTTACGCCAAGGACTAGTGGATAGAGGAACAGACAACTACTGTGGTTAACATCAAAATGAATAGATGGATGTTCCATGTCTTGAGTATCACAGACAAGCCTGAGTATGTGTGAAAATAAGTTCACAATATTGATACCACTTTTCATGTACTGTGGGGTATTGACTTGTTATTGTTTGGTAAGTGGCGAATATAGATGTGGCATTATACTTGATTTCATCAAGTGACTGAGAAAATTTTCCGTGCTATAGTCTGTTTTTGAAAACGTATAAAATTTGTATATTTTGAAATTTCCAATTAACATTTTCTTAGATAGTGTACATGTGAATGCAAACCTTGCATGCTGTAGCAAAATCAAATTTGAATCCCAAAAAAGATGTTACACATCAAAGAAAAGACTGCAGTTATCTGTCCCCGTGATCTCTGTATTTAGATACTTTAATGCTGTTCATTCTTTTTAAAGTTAATAGAGGGATAGTATTTCAATACAGAAGAAAGTAGATTTCTTGGACAAATACTAGTATTACTGTTGCAATTACAATAATTTTAATTTCTGGTTTCAAAAAGTTAATTATTTACCATTTTTACATTCCCAACTGTGGGGCTGGAGGTCCTGGCTGAGGTGGTGCAGCGGCACCAGGAACTGGTCCTGGCGGTGCTGGAGCTGGTACAGGGGTTGCTGCTGGATCTGGCTTGCCACCTTTCTGTTCTGAAATGGGTGTTGATGGTACAACATCGTCTTTGGGTTCCACGATACTGACATGATCTGGGAGAGGTTTCTTGGGACCAATTTTACCAGTTGGATCCCATGGCAACATAATCTTGACTTTAATTCCCAGAACACCTGAAAATCAAGAAGAAATTAAGAATAATAAACTGTCTTGAACATACCAGTTTCCAGTGAAATCTTAAGTATATTAGAACTAAATGTTGGGCTTTAACTCTTACATGGAGCTGGCAGGTTATTAATGTTTGCTTGAATATCTAAACTAGGAGTCATAAACAAAGTACCGAATTAAATTTGCTTTGAGATTTTGGGACAATATAAGTAATGATCTGAATTTAGCGGTATGCAAACTGCGAAAAGATAAATATTTTCAATCTTATTCAGTGTGTACGAAGGTCACAAAGAATCACATCACTGCAAACTGCAGTAATTCAGTACTCGTGTAAATCATCCAATATTTGCTGCAATTCGCTATTATTCATGTCATTAAATAGTCTACATAATACTCCCAATATAGCTTTAGCAATTGTCTCAGCCACAGGGTCAATAATTATTGGCTGTCTGTAGATTGTTAATCTGCAACAGATTTAGTAGGTAAACAATTACACGAGCAGTTCACAAAACAAACTGGCATTATGTTCAAAACTGTAAAATATTGTGCAACGTAACAAAGTGTGTTGGAACTACCTACCCTGCCTAAGCATGACATGCCTTACTGCAGTATCTACATAATCATTGACTGGGTTACCACTGTGGATCATAAGACCATCTACAAACTTCATAGATTTGGCTCTTTGACCTCTCAGTTTGCCAGATACGACGACTTCGCATCCTTTGGCACCACTTTCCATAATGAATCGCAGCACACCATAACAAGCTCTAGCAAAAACAATTACGCATATGTTTGTCACGAGAACAAAACATGTCCATTGCAGAATTAAAGACTTCAATACACATACTCCTTTCACTGATCAGTGATACTCACCTTCTGACTGCAAGACCACCTAGTAATTTGTAACGTAATGATTCACACTGGGCAATGGCACAAAGACCACGGGCAGCTACTTTTTCTGCATACAACTGTAATGGTAATCATGTAAATTTGTAAAAAACTGAATGCAGGCATTTATAACTTTAGACAAGTCAGCATAAACCTGTAAATT